TTGTGTCGTGTCCGTCTCTACAACGACACTTACTATATATCTATATAACACCTACTACCACATAAAAACTCCTACAACAAAAACAACAACACCTTATTATACCACTACAACATTTTTTTGTCTATTTTTACAGCTACTGATATAAAATTTCAAGAGAAAATCATGGATTTTGTTTACAGAACACAAAAAAGTGGTGGTAACAGAAGATATTAAACCACTTTCTCATCTTCATCTTTTGACTCATGGTTTACTTTGATGTTTGCCTTGCCAGAGATTTTGGTTTGATAGTGTACCAAAAGGATTAACAAGTGTCTCGTTAATTGCTTTGCACATCCAGGTCTGCGAATGTAGGACACTGCAACCCTTTGGGAACATGGGTAGAATGGTTTATTATCAAGCAGGATTGTAAAAGAAGTCTAGAGAAGGATTATTTTTATATCATTAGTTCTGGCTTGGTGTCTTCAGGCTAGGAAAGCCCAAACAATACAAGTCATTACTGACAATGTCATTAGTGCTAGAAACCATGCATTCGTGCAGGTAGGAATTTGCTACACTGGTAGCTAAGGCTTTTTTAGGCAGATGAGATCACTGAGGGAGTAAGACCTATGGAGACCTCAGGAAATAAAATCAAAACCAATATTTGTGAGAAACTTTTGTGACTGTCCTAAGCATTTTGTTTAGTCCACACAGTCTTACTAGACCAAACTTCCATAATTATCAAGGGATGCATTCCAAAGCTCTTATTTTGAAGCCAGCAACAGCACTTTTTGTGGGCCTTTTAACCTATGGAAAGAATTGCTTGGTTGCTTCCCTCTTTGGGGGAAAAGTCTTAGTTAATCCTCTTGTGAAGATTAGATAGAACATTTGTAGTTACCACTTATTTTCTTATTTCAAATCTAAAGTGTTTTCTTTCTAAATGGAGACTTAGTCTCAACTTGTAAGGCTTTGCTACACTTCTCTGTATTTGTTATCTGAGCTGCTTTAGATCAAAGATCTGAAAGATGCGAAGAGGCAAAATGTGGTTTCTTTTCAGGAATGGCTCCAAAAAGTGTGATGGATTGGGATAACTTCTCTTTAGAACTACTCTGTGTTGCCTTGATGACTGGAAGAGCATGAAAGATGGTAGTTCCTTCTTTGGTTTAGGACCTTGCTAGCCGGATAGGTCTTGCTAGGTGTCCGTCTAAGTTTCTGTGCTGCTCTTATACAGTATCAACTGTTCCAGTATTCCTGTTGTTGGGGACATACGGCATTATCACAGAGAGGCTCTCACCTCTGTCTAATAAGGCAGCCAGAATAAAAGAAGATTGTATGATCAGCTCATGTTTACAGTAGCTGAGGGAAGGCTGGGAAGCACATAAGGGCTTTCTGCGTGTTGATACTGACCATTCAGGTAAAGCATCATGATACAGTTATAACTCCTCTGTCTCTAGAACAAGGTCTATTAACACCAGAAGAAGTAGATGGAGAAACCATAGGAAAGCCAATTCAGCTGCCCAAGTTGGAGTTACTCCTATGTAACAGCAATTTTAAGTGACTTAGACTTTAAACTGGATTTCCATCTGTTGCCCTGATACTTTCAGGATCTTCAGCAGTGCTGTATTCAATGATTTCTCCTGCTATGCTAGAGGTAAGGCCCTTTGAGGAGCTGACCAAGGCATGTACTTTGTACAAGACCCAGATTTTTACGCAATCCTCGGATTTTTCCAGCATTTTGGCTGCAAAACAGGCCAAGAGTCTTCTCCCATCATCTACTCTTGGCTGCTGAGCACGAGTCTCTGAATATGGTCCATTGCTTCTACCAGAGCCACTCACAGCTTGAGGACTGCAGCCCAAAAAGCCATGCAGAAGCTGCTCTCTCAAGCAGAAAATAGAGTATTTCACTGCCTCAGTAAACTGCAACATGGCTGCACAAGAGACTCACATCTCTTTGTACAAGAGGAAGAAAAGGCTGGGGCTGCACTTACTCGAGCTAAATCTGCAGCCTGAAAAAACCAGGCTGCTGAAGTGTAGCAGATTTTACTCCAGCTGAGACAAGCAAAGGAACCCACCAGATAAGAACCCTTTAAATGACTTCCTATGCAGGCAGTCTGTGAGATGACAAGGGGGAGACTTTGAAAAGTGTTAATGCTTTTGTCAGCAAAGTCAGAACTAGATTATTTCTACATGGGTAAACAGCCTGATGACTAACATATCAAGTCTTTCTTTTCCATATGAGAGGGAGCACTTTCTATCAAGTACTGGGTGATCACTGAAGAGAACTGAAACATGGAGAATCTGTGGTCTCCATCTCAACTTTCCAGCGGGTGTGTTTTTTTTGTGCTGAGTTACAGGGAAATAAACTCATTATATATTGAGACGAGTCAGATGCTGATGCAGGCTATTCAGGAAATACCCCGTGTTCTTTTTTTTCCCTTTGTATCAGCTGTTTTGTATATTTAAGTATTTCTCAGCAAGTGAACCAGCTGCAAAATACCCTGGTCTGGGGAACAGTGTCAGACTGTAAAACCATGAAAACTGCAAAAATTATAATAAGCCTTAGTTCACTGTATTTATGTGAGTATAAATGTAAATGAAGACTGAAAATAAGACAAAGAAAAGATGTCTTCATACTATAAAACTTTGACGTGCAATCATAAGAGCGAGCATCCTTCAAATGCAAGAAAGTATTCTGTAATGTCAGAGAGAACTGCTACTACACACTTCTTTTGCTGTAAAAACAGTATGAAATAGATAGCTAAGTACACAAAAAAGGGTGAATTGACAATACAGATAATTGTTACCCTTATTTTCAAGACATCCAGTTTGAAGCTATAAGTTTTATCACTGTAATGGGTTAGCCCCAGCTGGCAGCCAAGCACTCACACAGCGAAGCACTCACACTCATTGCTTCCATTCCTCAGTGAGATGGGGGCAGAAAATAGGAAGAACCGAGGCACAATCTTATTGGTCAAGATAGACAGCGATATCACTTATCAATTACTATTACAAGCAAAAGAGACTCAACTTGAGGAATTTAGATTAATTAATTGTCAATTAGCATAAATATTATGTTATTGATTCAGGTATTGGAAAACAAAAAGGGACAGCCATTTAAAATACCTACTCCTCCCCTTTTCCAGGCTCAACTTCACTCCCAGTTTTATCTTCACTCCAAGTCCCTCTTCTGCCCTCTCTCAGGCTTCACTCCAGACACCTCTATTCCCTTCTTGTTATTGCTGCAGGTGACACCTAGGCTTTTCATTAAGGCCATCAGCAGTGTAGATCAGGGTTTGTGTGCAGTGTTTTCTCTCTGCTGCTCTTTCCATCTCACTTTTTCATGTGCTCTAGTGTTGGTCCTTTACAGGTTACAGACCATTCGAGGAAGCACCAGCTCTGGTGTCAGCATACCCATGGGCTGCAGTCCTTTCAAGGAGTGTACCTGTTCTAGCATGGCTGCTTTATGGGCCACAGTTCCTTTGGGGTGTGCCTGCTCCACCATGGTGCACCTCCTGCTCCTCTACCCTTGCTTTTCCTTCTGTTATTCTTCTGTACCCTCCTCCTGTCTGGCATTTTCTTCCTTTCCTCAAGTAAATTTTCAATGGGGTGCCAGTGAACCCTGGTTGACAGGCTTAGCCATGTCCTGCAGTGGGTTGCTTGCAGAGTCAGCTGAACCAGCAGTGTCCAGCAAAGGGCAGCCCCTCATTTTTTCTCACAGAGGCCAGCCCTCCAGCTCCTCTGATGACAGAGTCTTGTAATTTATACAGAGTACAACCAACCACAAGCTGCTGGCATTAAACGATATAGTCTTCTCTAAACACTTTCTCTAAACACTGGACCGCCAGAAGCCGCTTTCATGGCTTGCGGTCGCTGACAAGCTCTTGGTCATGTATCTAAGCTGGAACAACATTAGGTAGGTGCTGATGGTTTCTAAGTGCCTTACAAGCCTACTGACATGCTAAGTCACAGTAACTGCATCTACAATAAAAGCAAACAATTGTATAAATTCATGTTTAAAAATAAGAGACTCTTTACAGAAAAAAAAAAAAATTAAAAACCATACTAAAATGTAAAAAACAGCTCCTATGAAGAAAAAACCAGAACATAAGGTATTTCCTGAGTAGCCGTTGCAGGCTTTGGTGACCTTCCAAGTCCAAAAAAATCCCCCTCCAACTATTTCCATTATTCCTCCCACCAGCAACATCCATCAATATAACTGGGAAGAGACACTCGCTGTATACAGAAGCACGCTATGTGAACAGATGTGATCCTAAAGTATGCAAACATACCCTTTTCCACTCTCTTCATCTATGTCCACAGCATAGATGTTCAGAGAACATCTGAAAAACTGAGCTTCTAAAGGTGAAAGGGCAGCAGGCAAGAGAGGAGAAATAAGGCAGAAAATATCATATATAAGAAGCAGGAAACTAACACTGCTAATCAATTCAAGACAATCAGGGTATTGTTTTAGGAATGTTCCCTTTGCTAACCATGAAACACTTACTCCTTCAGCTGCTTAGTCAGCTTGACAACCTGAGAGGCCAATGACATACATGTCTCCACAACTACTAAGTAGCGGGAGCACATGGTGTGCCCATGTCGCTCAGCACTTTGTGAGGGTTTCTCTCCCACGTGGTTTTGCATGGTGACATTTGCTCCATATTCAACCAATGTCTGCAGAAACACAAAAGGGAACATCAACACCTGTAAGTCTCCGCTGTGACTTCTGGTCAACCACAAGAACAGCTGGATGCAAAGGATTCCTGACAAAAAATGCTTGAAATTGTTGGTCTAACACAAGCATTTTTAAAAATCAGTCACTGACAAATCTGTATGCAGCTTGACCTCAAAACACGTAACACTAAAATCTATCACTCAGATGCAAGCATAACATAGAAGAGTGAGCTGTGGTTCTGAAGAATTGTAAAACCACTGTACTCCTACACCTTCCCTGGCAGTTTTCTGTTCACTTTTTTGTACAACATAGCATGACTTATAGCATTCCTACAGTGGATTGGACTACTACATGAAACTGGATACTTTGCACATGGTAGGCCTAGAAAAGAAGACATAGGCAAGTACAATTCAAAGGACATCAGTGCTAGACAAAATCAGGGTCTAGGGCAGTGAGAATAATCGTTAGCCAGTTTATAGAGGGTGGTGATAAGCTGTAATAGCTTACCAGGTCTGGTATCTGCTGTTCTTGGGATCTCTGCACCGCAAGGCATTGCAACCTTTAGAATCTCACTTTAGGAATGTCCTTGCTACAACATTTGCTGACTTCTTCTGTGGTTTAGCTCTCCATTTCCTACCACTACAGAATACCTGAGTTTAAAATACTCAGTGCAGCAGTCTCAATGTTCTTATTCATTAGCCAACTGATGTTTGGCCACGAAAGGTATAGCAGATACTTTCCAACAACACTTTTAGGTCAGACAGGCACAAATTTCTTTTGCAGAAAGAAATCTGTACAATGACGTTTTCAATCTGTTTGGGTTTGTTTGTTTGCTTGTTTTAATGCTAAAACAAGTCTTGTTGCTTTACACTTGCTTGGTTGCCTCCTACTTTCTTTTAAAGAGATACTCAAATATGTGCCAGCCTCCAGCCTTTAAGAAAAAAAATCCGAAAGGCTTATACTCTGATGTATAACCCTGTGTCACTTGCAGTACTAGAGGAGAACCCTTGTTGCTGGAAAACTCTCCAGGTTGTAAGCATGACATCTGAGTTACCTCTGGGTCTTGAATCCAGAGTGTTGTAAGGGCAAAAGAAGTTCTGTTAGGCTGACCTCAAGACATCCAATAACTGAAGCATGAATCGAGACCAAAACTTCACTCTTTCTGATATGTTTGTGACAACCAGTGTTATGCACTATTTAGAATCATAGAATTGTTTTGGTTGAGAAAGACCATTAAGATCATGAAGTCCAACCGTTAACCTAGAGAGCAGGTCCACCACTAAACCATGTCCCTAAGCACCACATCTACACATCTTTTAAACACTTCCAGAGATTGTGACTCAACCACTTCCCTGGGAAGCTTGTTCCAACAATTGACAATCTTTTTCATGAAGAAATTTTTCTTTATGTCCATTCTAAACCTTCTCTGGCACAACTTTAGGCCACTTCTTGTCATTTCACCTGTTACTTGGGAGAAGAGACTGATACCCACTTCACTATAACCGCCTTTCAGGTAGTTGTAGGGAGTGAGAAGGTCTTCTCTCAGCTTCCTTTTCTCCAGGCTAAACTACCCCAGTTCCCTCAGTTGCGCCTCTTAAGAATTTTTCTCCAACACCTTCACCACCTTTGTTGTCCTTCTTCGGACTTGCTCCAGCACCTCAGTGTCTTTCTTGGAATAAGCGGCCCAAAACTGAACACAGGATTCAAGATGTGGCCTCACTAGTCCTAAATAAAGGCGGACAATCATTGCCCTCGTTCTGCTGGCCATGCTAGTTCTGATCCAGGCCAGGATGCCGTTGACCTCCTTGGCCACCTGGGCATAATTCTGGCTCACGTTCAGCCAACTGTTGACCAAGTCTGTCACGTGCTTCTCTGCCTGGCAGCTCTCCAGCTACCCTCCACCAAGCCTGTAGCGTTGCTGGGGCTTGTGGTCGAAGGGCAGGACCTGGCATTTGGCCTTGTTGAACCTCATACAATTGGCCTCGGCCCAGCCAGGTGCCTCTGTAGAGCCTTCCTACCCTCACGCAGGCCAACAGTCCCACCCAACTTGGTGCTGTCTGCAACCTTATGCAACATGAATCATATCATAGAATCATAGACTGGCCTAGGCAGGAAGGACCTTAGAGATCATCTAGTCCAACCTCCCTGTCATGGGCAGGGACGCCTCATGCTCATACACATGCTCATAAACACACTGCATGAGAAGACTGGGGAATCGTTGACAGCCTGTGAACCTCCATCTTTCGTACTGTTACTTATAATTTCCCTGCCTCCTTTATCACTTCTTTCTTTTTGCCAGATAATTCGCTTTTAAATTGTACTATAAATTCATTGGGTAGAGGGCTTATCAGCACATCAAAACATCAGTTACACTTGCAACTGTGAGGTATTAATGAAGTGTCATTACTAACATTGTATTTTTTTGTTGTCATTAGACATCTTCACCATTTATTTTTCATGTTTTCATTTCAAAATAAAATACTTGACAAATGTCATCTTTTTTTTTCTGTTTTTTATTGTGTGAAATTGTTAAAATAGCTTTTATCGAGTTATATCTTCTCTACATCCAGATATATAAATATACTGCTGCAATAATAAGCAGCATATGTAGGTTCAGCCTAAGAATGTGCACAAATATAATTAACTAATGAGAATTGCCTAGCTATATTTGTTTTAGGGTTGAACTACTACAGATCTTCTGTCTTTGCAGTGGCCTAAGAGGTGCTGTGCATCAGTTCATGTACAGTAACAGGATTGACATGTTTACTGATATATATCTGAGTCCTTAGATTCTGAGAATTACTACTCCTTCTTAGACATGTCTTCCTCCCAAACTTAACTTGATCACTTAGATTTCTTGCCTTTCTGTCATGTGGTTATTTATTCTTTTGTCTATTCTTCAATTACTAACTTGTTTCTCAAATACTTTTCTGCAAACACCTGGAATAATTTTATTATTATTTCTTCTCCAAACTGTTTCACTCAAAGTGCCAACAACACCAAATATTGAAACGTATTTCTGTAACCAATGGTTCTACAGGGTACTTCCACAATTCAATGTAAAGTTGAGATGCTTCACCTAGCCACCAAGTTGAACCCTACAGCTTTTCTGACATGTTCACATTGAACACAGGTACTTACAGAGCTATCCAAACAACAACTCTAGGCAGCACTACAGGCTTGCGGAAGAGTGGTTGGGAAGCTGCCTGGAGGAGAAGCACATGGCAGTGTTGGTCAATTGCTGGCTGGATATGAGTCAAAAGTGTGCCCAGGTGGCCAAGAAGGCCAAGAGCATCCTGGCCTGTATCAGAAATAGTGTGGCCAGCAGGAGTACGACAGTGATTGTGTCCCTGTACCCTGAGGCCGCACCTTGAATCCTGTGTTCAGTTTTGGGCCCCTCACTCCAAGAGAGACATTGAGGTGCTGGAGTGTGTCCAAAGAAGGGCAACGAAGCTGGTGAAGGGATTGGAGAATAATGAGGAGCAGCTGAGAGAGCTAGGGTTGTTTTGTCTGGAGAAGAGGAGGCTGAGAGAAGACCTCATTGCTCTCTACAACTACCTGAAAGGAGGTTATAGAGAGGTGGGGATCAATCTCTTCTCCCAAGTTCCTAGTGATAGGACAAGAGGAAATGGCCTGAAGTTGCACCAGGGGAGGTTTAGACTAGATATTAGGAGAAATTCCTTTACTGAAAGAGTGGTGGGGCACTGGAACAGGCTGCCCAGGGAAGTGGTGGAGTCGCCATCCCTGGAAGTGTTTAAGAAACGCATAGATATGGCCTGTTGGGACACGGTTTAGTGGTCATGGTAGTCTTGGGTAGATGGTTGGAAGAAATGATCTCAGACAACTTTTCCAACCGTAATGATTCTATGATTCTTTAATTTTATTCACACCTGGCTCCCTTAAGTACTGTAGTTGTGTAAACATTCTCCATAGGACAAACTACCCTTCTCAGCAGCTCTGTACAACAAAACTACGTTGCTTTCAGTGGCCAAGCTGATTCATTTAGAATTAGTTAGAAATCACCATCATGCTGTATTGTTTAGCACAGATACATTCCAAGACTGTAAGTCTGGAAAGGATAGTTTACTGGAGGTGGAAATCCTTCAACATAGAAAAAAAATTATCTGTTAGACTTCCCCTGAGCCAGAGAGCTACAACTACTCACTAGAAAGAGAAAGAAAATATGAGAACAGTAAAAAGAGTACGCATGGCTGCCCATTTGTAATGTAAAAACATACACATTAGCTGCTTATGCATAAATGTAAAATCACACTTTCTTCTTGCAATACAGCAGTTACTTTAGTATAGCAAAATTAGGAATTGACAAACCAGAGCTTTTTGTTATTTCAGTCTGAGTCCTACCGATTTAAAGCTCTTCCTTCTAGTATATTTTAATGTATCAATAATTATTCCCACTTGTAAGTTCTCCTACAATCATTTTAATAGTTGTTGTCATTCAAGTTTGCTGTGAAGAGGTTTCTGATGCAGCGGTCACTCTACCTGTATGCATCCTAGATAGCCATGTTGAGCAGCTATGTGAACAGCAGTATTACCATCCTGGTCAACTTCATCCAGTGAAATTCCTTGTTCCTGCATAAACTGAAGAAGCCATAAAAGGATCTTCTCCTAGGGAGGGGGGGAAGAGATGTCACAAAAGATAAGAAATAATGAAAAGTTAAATATACTGGACAAATACTGTAATTAGTAGCATCTGTTACTAATACTGGCCAATAATTCCTTGTTTTCAGTCTCTCAAACTTCATAGGACTTCACAGGTCTTCATTTTTCTTTTTCCATTTTTTTTTAAGGAAATAAGCCATAATAGTTTCATTTGTTTTATAAAAAAGACATAATGGGAAAAATATGACTACTGTAACACATTCTGAGAAATTGTACATTAAAAAGCATGCAATTCTGTGAGTTGGAGAGGAGGCCTGAGGCAGAACAGCCTGTGTGTCAATCTGAAAATCAGATTGTGAAATTTGGTGAAACTTCACAAGACCCTCTGGAAAATTAAAACAGCGGTACGCGCAGATCACACTGCTGAGCAGCTAAATTCTTCAAATCTGTCATCAAGCCCCAGCTCCAGGCTGTTCTGCAAGAGGAGAAGCAACACAACTAAACCCAGGAAATCTCTCTATCCTGAGCTCTCAGTGTCTTGACTAATGGACCATTTGTATGTGCCTGCATGTTTTGAAGCCAAAACTGAGGTGTCAACTTAATTGTTTTTAACATTGAGTGTCTATGCAGGTGTAACACACATTTAACTGGGCATTCTTTTCTAATAATGGAGAGTTCATATATGTGCACTAAGCCTATTTTATTCCTTATTTTTCCCAGCAGGTTTATTTGGAAAAATCTTCTTTTCTCTAGGAACTTTCCTCACCTCTCCAAACTAAATTACATTGTGCCCTCCTGAGTGTCATACACATTGAAAATTTACAATAAATCTACAGATTACACAAAAAACGTGAGGTCCATTAAAGGACAGCAGACTACAGCTGTATTCTTAGATTTTGCATCAGAGTAGTTAAAGAGAATAAACTACTTTCTAGCTTAAAATTTTTTTATTTAAAGATGTATTTTTATTATCTTTCATTGATATCTATCACGTTACACTATCTAAGACCTCCAGTTCAAAAGGGCTTTGTAGATCCTAGTGTTGGTGAAGCAATTACAAATGCACACTTAACCTGCAGCACTTAGTAGTTACAGCGATATAAAAGTACGTAATTGCCCAGCGCTGGACATGGGTCTGTAAGAGTGAAGTGCATCTACATAAAACAGTACTGAAAGTCTAGCACCATCAGCAGTAATCATGTAGGAAAGAATAAAAATTAGGAAAGGAAATTCCAGCTAGGAATCTTGGGCATAAACCTCTTTTTTTTTTTGTATGAAATTACCACAGAAATTTTAATGCCAAGGTAATATAGACGGATCCTCATATTCTTTTAGGCATCCTCCGAATGATTCTGCCCATTCAAGCACCTGGGTCTCAGCTTACTACATCAGAGGGCTGGTCTGTCTGGAACTTATCTTCTTCCTACTTCCACTTTAACAGCAGTTTTGTTTTCATTACAGGGTGAAAGGTATTTTTACTTCTCCTTGGCTGAACGCCCAATACAGCTGACAGCCAGCATGGAGAGATGACTTCAGATCACATATCCCTTTCAAAATACTTTTGAGCAATTTCTCGAGATTCCTGTGGTGTTGGCCAGCAGCAAAGAAGGATTACACTACTCTTATGAATTTCCCTTATGTTTTATAAATTAAAAGAAAAATATTTTAGCAAAACTCATTTGCAGAACTGGAAAGCAACTATAGCTTTGAAATTATATATTTCTTTGGAACATGATATGGACCAGAATGTCAAGCATGTTCTGTAATTTTATGGTCACAATCAGCATGGAGCAAATGATGCTTTCTAGTCATTTATCTTATGAACATGGAAATAAAGTGCCTGGATAGCTAAATGCAGTCACCTGTATTTGGGGCTGTCTGTGCACCAACTGATGACAGGCAAAAGGTCAGAGGTCTACTCAAATAGTTTGTGTTTCTCTCAGATGACTTTGGTTTTTAAGAACTGTATCTTTAACACACACAAAAAAGAAGACAACTATTTCTTCCACCTACTTCTAGGGAAAATGAAAACATCATATACCTATATATATATATATCACTCTACTAACACAATATATATTTAGAACAAAAGGGTTCTTCGGAATATGTTTAGAGTCATCAACTCGATTTATTCAGACAAAATGGAGGTTAACAAAATTTGTCAGATTAAGATAATGGAAAAGAATCACATACTTGTCAAGTAACAGGAACAGATAAATACTGAAAAATTATTCAGTATGTCTGATAATTTTAAGACCTACAACAGTCTTACATTGTAGCAGTGGTTAGCACCCCACTGGCATATTCTAGACCTATAATAATTGTAACCTCCCTAAAAAAAGATTCTGGGAAAACGTCACAATACGTAATTTCTGTTTTGGGACAGGTTGCAGACTTTGCCTCCATCAGTTGGCTTTTGGAGCAGAAAGAACAACTAACAAAGACAATTTAAGTCATTAAATGGTCTACAAATGCAAGGATTAGCATGGTGAAGAGTACTGACTCTAGAGCTAATCCTAGTCCCATCACTTCATACTAATTAAATTAGTTGCCTTTCCCAGTATCCTTTCACAGTAGAGGAACAGGAGTAACAGAAAACAACACATTATCCTTGAAAAAAACGACATTAGGCAGGAAGGCAAACACCCTGAGGTGCAAAAAAGGTGTGTTGTTAGCCACTTCCATATTTGAATGTCATACACTCCTCCCCACTGTGGACTCCAGTGCTGCACCACTGAGAGGTGGTGCACAGAACTCTGCCGAGGTGCTCAGTCATGCAGTAGCTCTGGTTCCCCAAGTCCCTCTAGTCTCCCTGGAACTCAGAGGCCACAGACCCTTGGCACTCCCAATCCTCTGCCTCTTACCTGTGCAGTCCATGCTACCACAGCACCCACAGTGAAATCAGAGCCCTGCGAAGCTCTTAGGACCTACTATGCGCAGCCAAGATAGCACCATCATCTTCCTTCTGTTATATGTTGACCGTGCCAGAAACAGCTAGGACACAATCTGCCAGGTACCCATGATTTATGCCTGGCATGGAGAGGCCTGTGTACCACCATGATTGCTTCTTGCACAATGTCATGCTTACAGAATCTCTTGCTAGAAGTTATGCTGACCAGGCTAGAGGTTGACGTTCAGCTTTTCTCTTTTTTCCATCGGATGAACTTAATGTGGTCCAACTCTCACTGGAAAAATATAATATTGTTGAGATGTCTCTGGACTCATGCCATGACTGTGGTTTGATGACCTTTAACTTAGGAGCTTTGCCACGAACTCCCTTTTGCTGCCCATTCTAAATTATATTTATTAAAGAAAAATATGGTGCGCATGTCTAATGCCTAGGGAAACAATGGATGGATTGACTCCTTTAGAAAATGATTCAGTAACAGGTCTTCCTTGTGAAAATATTACTCTTGTAACTCTGCCAAGATCAGTGTTTACATGGATTATCTCTCATGTAAGTAATGGTAAAATAAATTAAAGCTTGAAGGACAGTGCCAACTACACACTTGATTTTTTCTCAAAGTTTTTTCTTCTTAACACAGTTGGGTAAGATAGTTTGGCATCCCTTCAGCCTCAACATTCCCTCATGTTTGCAAGATGTTTATGGATTATGAAAATAAAGATAATTAACAATACATGCAAACTTTCTCTGGAATTCAGCTAACTAAGAAAAATTGGCAGCAATTTATCTATCATGTTTTTAAATTTCATGGGCAGCCTATTGTAACTGGTTTTTCTTAACTGGTACAGCTTCTGTCCTGCTCTCAAAAGAATCTAGATAAAGTGTGCCAGATCTGTTCCTGGCAGAAGACAGTACAGCTCACTGAAAAAAACAAAACTTCACTGGATTTAGTTTGTATAAATACCTGTAGAGATTAGGACAAAATTAGGCTAATCAAGTGAAGGCACGAATGTAAGCTCACATGAAATTTTCTCTTTCGAACTTTTTCCTCCCAGTAGCAAGGATGACTTTCTTGAACCCAGTCCTGACCTGGCTCCTAGCCTCCCTATAATCTGTGCTGGGTTTATGGGCCAAAATTGCTACAAGAAGTGGGACACAATCAGTCAGTACATCCAGCACGGACCTAACTTGCACCAGTAACATCTGCATAGTAGGTGAGAAGAGAAAAGGCAAGGGAGATCTTTATGCAGCATGAAAACAACGGTGTTTGTGAGCCTAGGGAAACAGCAGGTGAAAGGGTAGGCTTCTAGCTCTCCAGCCTTTGAATCCTGCCCCCTCTTTTTCCTTCCCCCTCCAGTAAAATCATGCTTGGACAGGATCAGTTAACAGCAAAAATATGCCACAACAATTGCATAGCATTGAATGGGACTTTCACACTTGTGCACAAAAGAAAAATACAATTTTCTTAGTTCTCTCAGAGCATTTTGCTTGCTCTCTCTTAACAAGTATGAGAAAAAAAGCACTAAGACAAAAATAGTGGCCTTTCTGCATTTATCCTAATGTCTGTTGAAGAAACTGCATGATAATGTGGCCCATCTGCCACACAGATTACAGAAGAATAACCAATCACTACTCCTTGCATAGTAGGAGAGAAGGTCCTTTGAAGAGGGGTTATTGCAAGGTCTACTTAGGAAAAACAGAAATTTTGGTAAGAGAATGTGCTGCAATTAAGTGGTATACATTTTCCCAGACATTAGCAAAGCACTGAAATACTGTACTTCTGTGGTTTCTCATCATTAGATTTATAGATAAGATAGGTGTGGAACGGTATTGATTTACAACATATTTTTATATGCAATTTTCAATAAAACTGGCTAGAGCTAGACAGATGATGTTCAAGTTTCACCACATTTCACTGCCAATATACTGAATTCCTAAACAATTTGCCAACGTTTTTTGAGATTAGTGTCTCCTGAAAAGAGAATGTGAACTATCCCAAAATGTTCAATGTTTTTCTGATGTGTCCTAGCAGTCTCCCAGGGATCATGACAGCTAATCTCCTTAGATGTTCTTCAGATTGAAAGACTGGCCTAATATGCCAGATAATCTTCTCCTCGTCATTGCTTGAAGGTTAAAAAACAAAACAAAACAAAACAAAACCTAAGAGGGAAAATGCTGAAGAAAATACACAGATTAACTGGGAAAAGATTTTGCTATATTTGAACTAATTAAGAACACCTGTAATTAAAAGCCTCAAAATGCTAAGCATGCTTTAAATTGAAATTTTTGTATAAGCACTTAAATAATCTACTTGAAAGAAGTAAGTAAAAGTCATACCTGGCCATAGCAACCTGCATAATGAATAAGGCTTGGGTGGTCTTTTGAGCAACTTAATTCTGCAATAGCTTCTGTTTCACTCACCATCCATCGAACACATTCCAGCTGACCATTCTAAAAAAATTTTAAAAACCAATAATATTTAAATTCCAGGAAAAGCTTCTCATAATTATTAAAATGTTATGAAATTCCAGTTTGTTTGAAAATTTGTTCTTTCATTTGCTCTCACGTAATACACTTGTTTATCTTGTTGTCCTGGATCAATTATATTTGGCTACTGATTGCAGCAAAAGTGGCAGTGTGAAAGTGGTGGTCAAACAGTACACACACAATCCGGTCTCTATTCCCGGACTGCAAAACCATAGTTCGATTTCTATCACTTGTAGAGCAAGGCCCAATGACTAAAGGAGATAATTTGCTGGAGCAGAGTGAACAGCCTACCTACAAACTCAGGTTTTCATTGATCACTAATTAAGTCCTTGCTTCTTAAGATGTTCTCATGTTTGTAGTAACTGAACACCTAATCCTCATGGATCTGTAATAGATACTGCACAAACACAAATATGGAGATGGTTCTTGTCCTGAACATCTTTTACAGCCTAGTCTCAAGATTCCCAAGCTGTTATGCACACTCCTCATAGTTTACTATGAAGTGGGATATAGATACTAAGGAAAATAGATGAATGTTTTCTTCAGATCATGCTTGTGGCCTGGTATAGAGGCATTAACAGCTTCTCTTGCCGCACACACTTTTCACTGATGGCACCCTGCTAAATGCAGTTTGGCATGACCTACATTCCAGCCTGCTCTCACTTAATTTTTAACTCTCATGTTCATAAAGGCTATTATATTCTTTATAGCTGAAACAAGTATCTCAATTGCTCAGTCAAAACCTCAGCGAGGTCAATGTACTGTTTATGTGCATAAAATGGAAAAAGCTATCATGAGAAGGAAAGAAAAATCCATTTCAAGTTTGAGTTTTATTTTTATAAAAAAGGAGGAGAATGTCATAAAGACCAATCCATCTAAAACTATATGAGAAAAGAAAAACTGAAATAAAATTAACTTGATATTTGCCTTATTCCTCCCAGATGTAATGTATGTATATAAACACAAAAATGCACACCATTTTACTTTACTTACTTTCCTCTATTTCTCTCAATTTCAGTAACAAAAGTAAACCAAAGAGACTACTTCTGTTTTTTTATTATGCTAGAAAAATCCTCACTATCATATTTTGGTTCAAATGATACTGAGCATGACTAACTAATACTTTTAAATTTTGTCTTCTTTTGTATCACAACTAAGTAAAATATTTTTGTATTTTAAAATTAAGGTAAAGAATTATTAAAATTAAGTACCTGCTAAATACAGTAATTTTGTTAGTGTGGAAAGCATTTCTCCACAGTTAGTTAAAATAAACTATCAATATAACAGTACAACTGGCCATAATATGCCACCTCATTTTTACTCTTCAGCTCATAGCTCAAGGTCAGAAGCAGGTCTTGAATAAAAGGAATTAGTTTTAATTAATTCACTCCTTACAGGGAAATGCTATGCATCACCACTAAACTGCTGAAATTCTCTTTCACAGAAATTTATGTCCCTGCATACGAGTTTCCTTCTGTTCTGATAGTTATACCCACACGGTATAACATTATGGGAGTTATGATGATATAAAGTAAGAGCAAGAAGAAAAGAGTCCATTCCATCTGTATGCAAAACCACTTTGGGAGTAAGGATCAAGAGCAACAAAATTTAGTCATGCTAGATTACTTTAAGGCCCTCACAAAATTTTGCAGTGATTCAGGATAACTCCAGCCACGCAGGTCATCATTAGAAACACTTGGGCCTGAGTACTCTCACTTCCATGAAGAACTCCATTACATTTACACACTTTCCTGTGATGTCAAAGCATGGTCAAGTATTACAGAAACCAAAGGAAGTAATCATTAAAAAAGCCAGCCTTTCTGGAGAAAAAGAAAACACTTTTTACTGGCTTATAAACACATCATATACCTAGGCTGAAAAAAAACAAGAAAGAAAACAATTTCCAACTAAAATTTTAAGACTTTAAATTGGCAGACTAACTATTCAGTTTGGACATGGGCCAAGGAACTGAAGCTAAATACCATGCTTTTATAATAGCATTTCATTAGATATCAGTTTAATTTTATATTCATATGGCTTGTCTCAGAAAAAAACATTAAAAAAACAATCCTGAAACCCGCACCAGGGCCCTAGGTCACTGAAATCATGTCTCAAAGATGGAAACCTGCAAGTTGGAATCTACCAGTGCTCTGTCAGTTTCTAAAGTTTTCCCAAGAAGCAAATAAAAATAAAACCCCGGAAGAAACAGAAACTCTTCTATTATACTTCACTCCTTTCCTTGTTTCTTTTTATGGTACTTAGTCTTTAGAAGGAATGGCATTCAACCATTCAGTCTCACTTATTAAAGAACCAGAACCAGTATGATTAAATTATCAGCCTTCCTGTACACCACTATGCTTTATTTTAGTGCAGCAACACCACCAATTTTCACATTTTCCTACATAATAGGTTTCCCTGTAAGCTTTGACATTAATTTCTGCAGTTTCTGTCAGGTTGTTCTGTAAATGTACATTTTAACTTTAGTGAGATTGGTCTAGAAAACCAAGAAGTATCACCTCTATATGTGGATCAGAGGGATTTTTTATGCTTTGTTTTACAAGATTATTCTTGTATTTGTAAAAAATCAAGAAACTGTTATGCTCTCTAAAGAAACAACAGAGTCTGAGCTAAATGAAAGTTTCTTTAAATACCGTTTTTAGTCAGTTAAGTGATTTCAGAAAGAATGTCTGCATTGACAACAACATACAAAATGTCAGTGCTTTACAGCTGATACTGTATCCTGCATAGTAATTTCTTTTCTTGTGTTGTACCAGTTAACAGTTCTTTTTGCTCTCATTTAACAAAATGCTTGAAAAATAATATCCTGCTGGATGTATTACTTACTGTCATCACAGAAAGAAACTAAATGACCTCTTATGCCACATTACAGTAACGACAGAAACTAAGTTACCTTTATTGCTAATCCAGCTGGAGTTAGCTGCTCAATGTTTCTTTCATTCAAACAGTCTTCACCCATCAAAGAAGTGAGATGCTGCAGGCATTCTGCATGTCCCTTTGATGCTGCTACATGCAACAGATTGTTGTCACATTCATCATGGATCTTATCCAGATTATCTGCTGCTAAATGTGGCTGTTAAAAAAACCCCATTATGTTAGTTATAACTAAGGATAAAAAGATATGCAGAACATTAAGCCTCACAGCCTCAGACAAAAGTCAAATACAAAAATGATTCCCATAGACATGTTCTTTTACAACTCAAATGCAGGAGCTTTTCACTTCACTATATAGAACCTGGCTACTCTCAGCAAAACGTTTTAGAGGTGGGATGCTCACTGGCTTGATCTGCCATGTAGTTGCTCTCCTTCTCATGCAATTGTCATACAACAGTGAAAGATCTTGAGTAGCTTTAAATCTTTGTACTAGTGTGATCAAAGAACCAGCTGCAAAAATATCCTGATTTTCATAATTACTGTCCATTTTACTATTTTTTCTATCTTCCTCCCCTTCTTTTTTTGCATTATATTGATTAGTAGTTGAACAGAAAACATCCATGACTTCTAAAAGAAGTTCCTAATGAATTTTGTTCATCACAAAAGTGGCAGTTTGTGTTAAGTGCAATCTAAAATGTAGTTAAAACACATGACAGAATACTTTTATTTGATAGCTTGTTTCCATGAAAAATTTTTTTTGAATATTTATCCAAAGTACTATACAACCATGATGTAATATATCACTTCTGTCCAAATCCAATTTTGAGACAAAACAATTGAATTGAGAAACTCCAGAAGGAAAATGGAAGAAGGAAGCCAGCAATGATAAGTTCCTAGAACTGTGCAGACTTGCCAAAGTACTATTCAATGAGTCTACTTCATTCAGAGGTTTTCATCTGCTTGCAAAAATATATGCATTTTCCTTCTGTCTAGCTAGCTATCGATGACCTCTTTTTTTTTCTTATTTCAGAGTGAATTTAATCTGCTTTTATTTTTTACTGAGCAATTGAATATTCTCTTCTGCCTCTGTGTAGTCTTTGAATATCTGCCTTTGTCCTTGTTGCTATGCTAATAATGTGCCTTTGTGCTTGAGCTAGACTAGTAAACAGAGAAGCTAACAAAAATCTAACAAAATCAGTTCTTATACATACACTGTGCCTCCATCAGCCACTCTGAGTGGAGATCACATGCTCTGCATCATTCTGTTAACTTGCACCTAGTTACTCTGGAAACCATCGTGGATAGTGCCTGATCACAGTGCTGGAATTTACTAAAACACTTCATATGGGTCAGAGGCCAATGAGGTTTTAGAGAAAGCTCCTGCCCGAGAATGCTGCTGCAACAAGACAGCATAAACAGTCTTGAATAATAATCAGAACACAACAGAAGCCCCTCTGTTCCCATCATAAGGCTCTAAATAAAAACTGAGCTAAACTAGCAATAATCAAACAAAGCAACCCACAGATGTTGCGAAAGGGAAAACTCAATTAAGATTTAAATTCAATATTTAGGTGATCTCAATAGTTAAAACGTCTGCCTTCTATATGATCTTAGTGTACTGCATAAACTTGCAATCTTGGCCACGTTTACATAAAACTAGTATCTTGGGTTCGCTACGTATTTGATTTAAAGACCAAAACTTTCAATTTGGAAGCCCCTACGCTCAATTTCTACGGAGTGCACGAGATAAAAAGGGCAGCAGTTCAACATATGCACTTCATCAGCTTTGCTGGCTTAATAAACCACATCAAAGATTGCCCTTATTCTATGTGTTTTATGAAAAAGATTATACTTACCAGTAAAGATATTTGGCCTTCCTTTACAATGTTCAAGATGCTCTTAATTTTTTTCACCTCTTCGCTCCTCTCTTCTGGGCCCCCTGCACTGTTCCAGTTCATACTCAGTTCCTCTAGCTGCTTGTTTTCCGCCACTGCCGTCTGCAGGTGGAAAGTCCTCAGGTGGCAGTTTGGCATTGTCTTCTCAGTTTGGTGAGCATGAGGATCAACAAATGTCCTGCTGAGAAAGCCCTTGCCCTGGGCTTCAGACTCATGGGCTGAGCTACACTTAACTAAGGGCTGGGAAAGCTCTAATTCTTCTGTGACATGCTTGTGTTGGTCAAGGACAATGGGCTGCGCTTTTCTCGGCTGAGTGCCTTTCACAGGGGACAGCACACAGAACTGCGTCCCGCCAGCGGGCGAGCTCTCCGTGCTCCCTGCAGAGCAGGTCTTGCTGCTAAGACCATTCACTGTTGAACATATACCTAGAAGTTTTTTCTCAGGAGTGACTTTTGTAAAAGGAACAAGTTGCTGGCTTGATTTAATGTAAGGCACATCCAAAATTTCATCCATATCCAGGTCATAGTGCTCCAGCTCCCCAAGCAGAACAGCGGGCTCGATGTTTTTGCTTTTAAGGCTCTCTCCTTCTCCTGGACTCTGGTCACCATTTGGAGGTGCAGATTGAGATTCGCTACCTTTCTGGTATTCTCCCTTCTGGTTCTTCTGGTCATCACTTTCATTGTTCTCAGAGCTTTCTGGCTGGTGCTTTAATGGGGAAACCCTCTTCACTGGTCTGAATTTATTGCACACATCCGCAATTCCTGTTGGTTTTTGTGCATTTGCGATAAGAGTTGAGACTCCACAGTTCCAGCTGCTGCTGGAAACTAGAGACAGAGGAATGTGACTTAGAAGTGATTACTACCAGACGTGTGACATGATATAGCATGCTTTAAAGATATACCTGGCCAAACACAGAAAACAAGAATTACATGACAACATGCCACATTCTTATCTGAGCAGATTTAATGGCTTCTCAATGAAAACAGCTAAAAAATTTGACACTCCAGAAAAGAAACTTTCTTCAAACAAGACATACTTCATACCCAATTACAAATAAAGCAGTTTTAATCAAGTAGTAGACATCAATAAGAGCTTAGTGGTGTTTATGGTAGTCCTGCCCAACTATGTTAGTTTGTATTACACTTTTTTAATTGCATGGAGATGCATCATAAGAGTAGGATGATGTTCTACGAGGTCAATAAAAGACTTAGTCAAAACTTTTTAGTGGATTTGTTTTAACAACAGCAACAACAATTTAGTTTTTAAGGCCTGTTATCTGTGGGAGATATATTTTTCATATAAGACCGGGAAATTCATATGAACAGGGATTGAGAGCTGGAACTGTTCAGCCTGGAGGAGAGAAAGGTCAGGAGAAATCTTATTCTTTTGTATAATTACATGATGGAAGGCTATGGAGAAAAGGGAGAGAGGCTCGTCTCCATGGCGCCCAATGACAGGACAAGAGGCAATGGGCACAAACTGAAACACGCGAAATTCCATCTGAACACAAGAGAGCACTTTCTTACCATGAAGCTGGTCAATCACTGACACAGGCTGCCCAGAGACATTGTGGAGTCTCCATCTGTGGAGATACTCAAAATCTGATTGGACACAGTCCTGGGCTTGACCTGCTCTAGTTGACCCTCCTTAAGCATCGCCTTTGGACTAAATCATCTCCAGTGGTCCCTGCTGACCTTAATGTTTTTGTGATTCTCTGATCTGAAAATTAAGCCTACTTATTCAGATATGATGTTTCCTTTCTCACTTCTCTCTCTGTAGGCCCTCTCCATATTCATATATATAACATATATATGTACATACACACACACAGACACATATATATAGCTCTGGACCTTCCAGATCAGTATTTCAGTGCACTGCAGGATACAGAGTTTCACCAGCGAATCTGACTTGCAGAGAAGACAGGGAGCTTAAGTCGCCTGAACATTAAATCCTACTGAACTGGAACTCAATCCGACTGAACTTGCACTCTTTCACACAGTCCCAGCTGGTGATATTTATGATTTCCATAACCAGCAGAACTCTGGCAAAGAGTTTTCCTTATTTTGTTATTTTCAGTTGAAGTGAAGCACTAAACCCACTAAAGCTTTTAGCCAATTTCTATGCCCTTTTCAATATACACCAAGAGTTAATGCATTCTGAAAGTCAAGGATACTGTTTAAACATAACAGATTTATTACACTTGCTAACTGTGTATCAGTGGGATCTAATTTGTGGTCAAAACACACAATTTGCCATGAACACCTTTCTAAAGAAACAGATACACACACTTTCAGTGCAACATTAATGTCTGAAGTGAAAGATTAGTATCGCTTAGTAGTTACAAATGTCTGAAAATTACCTTAATACTTTTGGAAGCGCTTAAGAATACATTTCCGAAGAAGAAATAAAAATAATAATAATCAAAAGGCATGTAACTTAGTGGGCCAATACAAAGAATGCACTGTACTGACTTATTTATGCATTGTATAAGATTCTAGGTTCAAAGGCCTACACTTTTATGTTGGTTTTATTTACATGTGAAATTTTTTCCAAGTGATACAGGGAAATGGATACCATATGTTTCCCAGCTGTTTTGTTCTGACAGGAACTATTAAGCACTCAGTATGGAAACGAATTCTGTCTGAGTTTTATGAAAACACTGCTTTCAACACAGGGGTCTAGACAGAGGAAAAGGCATCAACATTTTGTTTGTCTTCACTTTATTTAAGCTTACGTTTATTTTCTTGTTTGGTCTTCTCCACTTTCTAAACTCAATAACACACATTTACATAAACGACTGAAGATAAAATTGCAAAATCGGACACTGCAAAGAAGCTAAAACCTGTGTTACAAATCTGTCTCAAATCATTGCAAAGTCATATATTTATCTTCTTCTTCATTACCGTTAGAGCAGAGTAAGGTAATGCAATTTTTTTCACTGTTTTTCTTCCCAACACGTCCTTACAAGCACTGTTTATCCAGAAAATGAGCTGGAACTCCAAGAACAGTTAGTAATATTTTTTTACTGACTTACAAACATCACTCTTCATTTATCTGGCATGATGAATTTACACCGTACTTAATAAAAGATTAGAATATTAGCATTTAACCACCCAGCAGTGCAGAAGGAAGCAAGTCAGACCAGTAGACACCATCCTTCTTTGTGCTATTTTCTACTTAGGTGATGTGCAGTATGCATCAGTACTTAGGCAGTTACAGCATGGTCTCCCCACACACAACACCAAAACCATAGGCCAGAGTGGACCAGGGCACAGTTTCTGTCTCTTCAGTTCTGCTTTCAGATGCTCGTTCCCTGAAGAAGCAAAAGCAAGTGCTGCCCATATCCTCCAAAGCATCAGCACAGCAGGAGCTATGTGAGCCGCCTTCAACAGCTGCTCCACGGGGGAAAGCCTCTTCCTCATCTATCCATACTTATGAACTCGGGCAGGACCCATTAAAAGTCTGGGTCAAATAAACTCTGTGTGGTTCTTTTATAAACAACAGTAAAGGATGTTCTGAGTTTAAGGCAGGGGACTACAATGTGCAGCAGCTAGTTGGATTCCAGAATCTGACAAGTAAGTCTGGTATAATCTCGGATAAGCGGCAACTCTTCTGCGCACCAGTATTTCAAATGTAAAAAGCTGCTGACAATTTTTTTTTTCCAGCTATGGAAAAAATTATGTCTTTAACTTCTATTGATTAACATGAGAGATTTGGGCACTACTGTCACAATGTTGAAGTAAAAAGGGAAAGTGACAAAAACACTGGGGTAACTTCATTCCCATCAGCGAAGAAGTGCCGTGCTAACTTATAGACCTGTGGAGCCAAACCATCTCCTTGGCACTAAACAGAAGAGTATCTGATGAAAAGCAGCAAGGGCTAAATTTGCAAAAGCAGTTTTTCACTGTATATTGTGCTCTATGCTCTTCTTGAGGAAAAAAGGTAAAATGTGAATAAAGAGGCCTATAGGCTTATTTATAGGTTTTGGGTGTTGGGTTTTGGGGGTTTCTTGGTTTGTTTGGTCTAGTTTGCTTTTTAAATTTATTTATATAGATGTCCTATAACTACTGGTGGACAATAATCAGAAAAGGGAACAATTAGGAAGCAACTTATCTTGCAATTTAATCACTTCATCACACTTTATTTTAGGAAGCAATATTTACCTTGAACTTTCTCAAAAAGATTGTTATGTTTCCAATTAGAAGCATCTGTTGCCTTCAGAGCATTTTTCAACATCATCTCTGTTTCTAGGGCATGGGGAAGTAAGAAGGGGGGTTTTAACTAGTATACAAGCATCTGTAGAATTGTAGGGTAACCATATGAATTTCATCCAAACATCAAGACTATCTCAAGCACAGATGAAACTTTACCCTTGTGACAGGCAGTTTCTGTTATACTTACAATCTAATGCCAAATATCAGAATACCTTTAAATTGTCCTGAGTATAATGAAAATAACAAAGAACTCAGCTTTTACTTCAGCTTTATAAGGAAACTACTACTGAAAATCATTGCGTGCGTGCAAAAGCCTGTCTCCCTGGCATATGGGTACAGTAACATTCTTCAAATGATAATGGCTTCATGAAGTTTACAGTCCTGGTGACACAAATAGGAGGTGGCAAAAGCATGTCTATCATGCATCACTACCATTACAAAGTAAACTGAATATACCACAGAGTGGTATTTGTAGATACTGCTGTGCCAGGTCTTTGTGAACCCAAAATGACTCACACTCAGAGAGCACTGACTGACTGAGAAAATGGTCAAAGTCCTAACAGTGTGTTTCTGTCACCATCACCATGGACTCATTTAGTTTTACATTTTGACCGATGTTCTGTCGTCATGACTGGTGCTATTGAACAGCTCGGACATAAAACAGGCAGTGGTGCAGGCAAGCAGAAAAGTGGATGTAAAGGTCTGAGTCATTTGCAGATCAAAAGGCAATGGGCTCCATGTTGCTCAACTAGGTCTACACTGGTTTAACAGGGAAGCAAAAGAGTACTATGATACACCCTTCAATTAAATCTGTGAGCCTTTTTAGCTTGCTGTCTCTATAAACTCCATAATTGTGCAATCACAAACCACCATAACACTGAATAATCGAGAAGAATACGCTGCTTGGGCTCTGGAGCTGAGAGTCCTGGACTATGGTAAGACCACTGATTTTATTATGTCTAACACGTCTTTCAACTGTCTATGAAGCTCTGAGGTTGAAACACTGTTATTTCTTGCTAATAGGTAAGTATGAGCATTATTGTTGCTTCCCTAATAACACTTCTTAAATGTAACTTAGTTGCAGTGTTCATTATTGTACAAACAGAGGCAATCAAAAGAGACTTCAAGGCACGGAGGCAGATGCTACGAGGATCAAGTGCTCAAGTCGTGTTTACCTCAATTCCTTCAATTGCAAGGAAAAATACTGAGAGGTTCAAAAAAAATCAAGAGATTAATACTTGGCTTAAATGGTGGTGCCAACAGTCCAATTTTGGGTTTTTCAGCCATGGGGACGTCTACACAGCACCTAGCCTATTGAAATAAGATGAGGTTCAGATGTCTGTGAGGGGATCCTGGGTCATGAGCTGGCGCTGCTCATTGAGAGATCTTTAAACTAGTTATGAAGGGGGAAGGGGTTACAACCATATCATGTGAAGACAACCCTGGGAAAGGTGTAGCAACATTGGGAGCAACACCATTATCCCAGCTGAAGTGCAGCTGTACTTCATCGGGGGCTTCAGGTACTTCACCAGGGGCCCAGCTCAAATGCCTTTACGTGAATGCACACAGTATGGGCAAGAAACAAGAGGAGCTGCAGATGCTTGTGTGCCTGCAGTGCTACGATCTAATCAGCATCACAGAGACATGGCGGAGTGACTCCTACAGCTGGTGTTTGGAATTAAAAGGGTGTAAACTCTTCAGGAAGGACAGACAGGGTAAATGAGGAGGGGATGTTGTCTTCTATGTCCATGAACAGCTAGAATGTATGGAGCATGATGAAAAGACCAAATGCCTGTGGGCCAGGGTGAAAGGAAGGGTAGGAGATATTATAATGGGGGTCTGCTACAGACCAGCTGACCAGAAGGACCAAGTGGATGAGGCCCTTCATAGGCAGATAGGAGTCGCTGCTTGTTCACAAGTCCTCGTCCTCGTGGGGGACTTTAACCACTCCAGTATCATTTGGAGAGACAACACAGCAGGCCATATGCAATCCAGGAGATTCCTGGAATGCATTGATAATGACTTCTTTCTCCAAGCGGAAGAGGAATCGATGAAGAGAGGTGTCATGCTAGACCTTGTTCTCACTCCCCATAACTATTAAATATTTTTAAATGAAATATTTCACTATATTGCTCATGTACTATGATTTGTTGGCCTGCACTAGGTATATACAAAGTTTAACAATGATTTTTTACTGTCCTCTGAAAGAAATGCCTGAGCTTCCTCCTTCTAGGTATGACTTCAGCAGAGACTCATGAATCAGCTAAGACTCGTACTCATTCCAGGTTCTGACTTTATATGTAGACACTGAGGCGGTGTCTACATTAGGCACACTTTTAGAAAATTCCTTATCGTTGTTATCGCCAATTTATTTCCAACACTGGCAACAATATTGGGGCTCCAAGAGATAGAGAAAGGGATGTCACTTACATATTGATGGATAACCAAAACCAGTTCTGAATATATATTTACTGTTTTACTAACATAACTGAAATAATATTTAACAACTCTAACTGTAGGTGGCACTGTTTTACAGTTTTAATATATTAATAACTTCCAGGAGTACATTTTAGGGTTCTTTAACACAAGCTCTTTAGCATGAGAACCTGAATTAAAGAACAACCCTGCACAGGTAAGAATAGAGAGGGTTTACTCCTATTTAAGTGGAATTTGAAGCCAGTCCAAATAAGAAAGAAAGGGTAAACAGGGTAATTAATAATTAATCCTTTTAAATAACAATGCATGTTTTTCAGGTAATTCAAACATCAACAGGAGCTTCCTGTCTTGACTTGAGGAAGAGCACTACAAAAGCTGTCATTTCTAAAGTAGAGAATATGTAAAAGGCAAAGAAAATTTCAAAATTAATAAATTGGGTTTTACCTTGTCCAGACAGATCTCAAGATGCAGGGAGGTAAAATAACTGAAAAATCAGAGAAGGTCATTCTGGCACAAAATGAGTAAAACGGGAAGAGAGAAGATGTGGAAACATCGTAAGAAAAGGGCTTTTATATAGTGGTCACAATTGTCACTGCATAGTAATAATTTATTTTTTTTTCCTAAGAAAATTTTGCAGTATTCTAGCAAGGAATTATCCAATCAGTATTGTTTTGTTTCAGACATATTTACTTGGGAGGTATGCAGAGCACAACAGACTGTGAAATTAGTGCCATATAACACTGCCGCTAGAGCACATTTTATTTTAATTTCTCTTATAGCTAAAAAGCGACCAAAAGCCTGAGACAGAAATTGTGTGTAATTTTATATTCACTGTTTTATTTCTTTTTCTCAATCAGGAAACTAGTCCTCTGAATAACTAATCTTCCCATTTGTGAATGACAGTTACTATGGAAGTTAATAAATCTGTGCAGAAAGGTAACTGCTGGAGATTAGAGATGAACTTGCTTTTATCAACCTGCAAATAAAGATCTAGAGTAGGATATTACCCTCATTTGAGATATACAGTTAATGACAACCAAAAGTCATCACAGCTGACAGAATATACTTCAACAATGCTATGGCTCAATGAAGCTTGCTGAACACAGATGTCTTGAACCACTTGCTCAAGTGGCCTTAGAAAAGCTGTCCAGAAAGAAAGCAACAAACTTCTTGCTTAATAACGAAAGCATTCTGCATTAGGTAATGTCGGAAATCAGAGCAGGCTGGCTAACACTTCATATCAGAAAAATGAGTTAGCTAGATCTTTTTTAAACCACATTCTTTAATTTTTTTTCTTTGAAGAAGAACAATGCCCATCTTAATGGTTATTATGCTAGCTACAAAGATTATTCTCTTGAAGCATGATGGCAAAGAAAACAATTACCTTTAATAATGCTTTATCGTGGATAAGCCAGAATCTGATGCAGATCTCTCCTGTTACCTCATATATTTTTACCTCGTAATCTGAGGGTACTGACACACATACTTTGGCTTCAAGGATCCCTTGGAATTTTCCTGAGTCAGAATACCCTAAATCTGAGGAAGGACACACAGGAGTCAGGACTGAGACTGTACTAACTGCATGACTTTAACGCACATCCTGCAGAAAGGTGAGAGGAAGGAACCACAGGATCTTCCCACAAGTACGGATCACTAGCCAGTGCTCCTCGAAAGGGAGGAGACAGTGGGAATTCAGGGAGGAAAAGCCACATGCAGGGAAATCCTTTCTGAGACTTTCTAATTTCTCCTTGTTCAAAAGACACGTAATAAAAGTAAAAGTTACAGGCAGGCAGAAATAGTTAAAAAACCCCAAAGGTTGGGTGAAAGGTCTGTGTGAAAAGCCTGAGAAAGCACACTGACTGGTAAACACTGGTATATTTGTGTAAGATTAGAAGGGCTTAAAATAATTGAAACAACGTAACCGAACACTTTCATATGTTACTAACATATTATTCGACGTTTACATGAAATGGGGAAAGAAAATGGCATTTCCAGGGCTATTTACTAAACTTACCTATGAACAATGTATACTAAGACTTCCATAATATCAGTCCTATAATTAAAAAATTTAATTCCACAAAGGGAAACTGTCAGGTTTAAACCTGTACTAAAAATCTTGTTTGTGAAAATGGTTGTCTGTATATTTATAAGTAAAAATTTGAATTTTATTTTCTCTATAATTTTGTCTTAATTGTCTTAGTGAACTAAGTATTGTTCTGAGACAAAGCTGATACAGAATGATGTTCTAGATTATCAGGGTTCCGACATATCTAATCCTATGGCTAAATTATGCTTAACTTTTAGTTATTTTTAAGAAAATAAATACTTTGATAGTTCTAATTCCATATTTTTCTCTGTTTTAAAGAAGAAAAGTAACCTCTATCTAAGGAACCAGCATGAGGTAGAAAGCTGGATCAGCTTTTTGTAAAACCTCTTAGTTTTCTTATGCGTAACTACTTAGATTGCCAGTGGAATATAGACACGAAATAGCATGAATGCCCTGCATACTAAAGATTTATGATATAGTCTATCTTCATCAGAAATAGCACATAACCACAATAATTTGAGGAACACAGAATCACAGAATGTAAGGGCTGGAAGGGACCTTGAGAGGTTATCTAGTCCAACGTCCCTGCCAGAGCAGGATCACCTACAGCAGGTCACACAGGAATGTGTCCAGCTGGTTTTTGAAAGTCTCCACAGAAGGAGACTCCACAACCTCTCTGGGTAGCCTGTGCCAGGGCTCTGTCACCTTCACATGAAAGAAACTTCTCCTCATGCTGAGGTGGAAC